GCAAGATCCTGTATCAAAAAACAAAAACAAAGAATGGGGAAAATATACTGCAGCAGTGTTTCAGAAAATGGCTTCAAAACCACCACACACTCTTTGAGTCATTTTGGTGGTGACAAATCCTCATTCTTTGGAGATGAGTATGTATTCTGGAAACGGTCAAACCGCTGACAGCAGTGATGGTGAACCTTTTAGAGCTTTCACTGATACAAACAGCTCGCTGTGGCATAGGTGCCATAAGTTCGCCATCGCTGACTTAGAGCCAAGACTGAGTAAAGCTGGTTATCAAGACAAAGATAATCTAAAGTTATAGGAGAAAGAGCTGATTTATTTTCTTAAAATCTCTTATCTCTAACTTCTAAGAACTAACAATCAAGTGACCATATTTGAGCTTTGCTTCAAGGCATCATGCCACGCAAATACAAGTACAAACAAGGAAAGATAATTTTATAGTAAGGCTAGATTTACTCTCCTATATGGCTATGGATCTACTATGACATTTTTTCACAAAGCGAGACTCCAGTAATAATTTAGACAATACATTTCTGAACAAATGAGTGACTCCCAAATAAAATTTCAAAAGGACAGGACTCATACAGATATAAAAGTTATTTAATTTTTCAATTAAAACCCATTTTAGCACCAAAAACAAATAAAACCCATTTCACTGCTGTACAATAATAATTTAAAAGACAAAATGAACATAAATAATAAATAATAACCCCTTCCACTTACACAAAGCAAAGAAGATCCTTGGCTCCCTTCTCTTTTAATTTATATACTCTTCCTGAGCAATTTCATCTGCTTTTCCGGCTTCAATGAATACCTGTTAACTCTGAAACCTGAATCACCAACCTCAGGCCTGTGGATCCAACCCCAGGCCTGTGGATCCTACCTCAGCACCTCTACCTGAACTCTCCATGGACATTTTGACCTCAACACATTCAAAACTGAAAAAATCAGGCTGGGTGTGGTGGCGCACGCCTGTAATCCCAGCATTCAAAAGGCTGGGGCAGGAGGATCACACTGAATTTGAGGCCAGCCTGGGCTACAAAGTGAGTTCAAGGTCAGCCTGAAGGACACAGTGAAACTCTGTCTCAAAAAGACAAAAATAAAACAAACAAACTGAGAAAATTATCTTTCCCCAGATTGAACACTAAGATCCTTTATCCTTATGGTACTCCAAGCTAAGAAATTAAGTCATTTGCTTTTCTGTTCCGTCAGATCCAGGTGACTCTGAGGTCCTGGCAATCCCACATCGTCACCATCTGTCCTGTCCTCTCCGTTCCTGTTAGTAGTGTCCCACCCCAGGGCCTTATCTGTATTATTTCAACAGCAACAGGCTTACTGGTGCTTCTCTTCCCTACCTTTTGTCCCTCTCCATCCAAGTCAGCCTCCACGCTGCACAGCACCATGTAATCTTTCCTAATTACTCAAAACCCTCCTCCAGCTCTTCACTCTTTCTAGTCCACTCCAGAGTCCTTAGCATGATGCATAAGCTCCTTGGTACCCGGCACCATTAGACTTCCCTTTTTCTTTTTCCAAATCCCAACTCCTTACTTACCTAAACCTGCTGTTTTACAATATATCCTGCAGTTCAAAGTTTTAGAAGTGCCCTTAACATCATACTCCATAATGAAAGATTTTGCCCAACTGGACCAAGCATTCACTTCATTATCTCAAATGAAGGGAACTAAACCAGCCCCCATTACCACCACTCAGCTCACAATTTCAGTGACCCCAATATGATCAGCAGCCAAGCTCTGTGATTCCCTTTTTCCAGTTTATTTCCAGGCATCATCCCTTTTAGCCCCACCACTGACCTCAGTAACTCTCTGATCCTTAGTGACAACCAACTACTACACAACATGCTCCTCAAACACGCCACACACTTTCTTGTGTATCTCTGGTTTTCATTCTTACCGTTTTCTTACCCCAACTCAGCAAACTCCTATTCACGCTTCAAAGCCAAATTCAAACATGGTAGTTTTGTATATCCTTCTCCCTTTCACGTGCAGAATAACTTTCTCATTAGCGTTCCCCACTGAACTCTACACCTCTGTTGTCACCCTGAAACCGTGACAGCTTCCCCTTATTTCTATGTTGGTTATAAGCTTCCTGAAGACAGGAAAGCATTTTCTTTTCTTGAATCTCACATTTAACTTATAATTTAAGAACAGATACTTTAAACTTATTGACAAACAAACATCTTATATACTACTAAATGATGCTATAATTGTAATTACTGAGTGACTGAGAGTTTAGAAACAAAAAGAACCCCACATCATTCACCAGTCTCCCCTCAAAGTTTTTACAAAGTATAATTAAACTGTAGCTTGTACATGCCTTCATTTCTATCTTGCAATACCAGTCCCCCCCACACCCTTTGAAGAAGTTCCTCTTAGCACTGTCTTTTAAATACCTGTCACATTTCATATGTGTATCACTCACAGAATTTGAAACTCACTACAGTGCAAAGGTTAACGTCAGGGTTGTTGGAGGCTGTGTGATTTGAATCCTGCCTCTGCTACTTTCGCTGTCTGGCCATCGGCAAGTTATTCAGCCTCTCTGCCTCTCAATGAGATCATAAAAGCATCCATCCCTCCCAGTGCTGGTGTGAGGATTAAATAAGCTGATACATGTAAAGAATTTAGAACACTGCCTGGCACAGACTAGGTCCAATAAATGCTAGCTGACAGTCTACTGTCCTAATTAGTTTTTTGTTTGTTTTTGCCACGCTGAGGATCAAATCCAGGGCACCCTGTGCAAGCTAGGCAAAAGTGCTCTACGATTGAGTTAAAATCCTATCCCTAAAATCAGCTTTTAGAACTGTTTTTGTTTGGGGGACTGAATCCAGCCGCCTCCTTTCCTTTCTTTTTTTTTTTTTTTGAAAGAGGGTCTTGCTAAATTGCACAGGTTGGGCTTGAACTTTCAATCCTCCTACCTCAGTTTCCCAGAATGCTGGTATTACAGCTGTAGTCCACCATGCATTTTAAAACAGCTTGTTCAATACAACCCACTTGGTGGAGGGTAATCACCTAGAAGAAACTACAACCCACTTGTATTTGAGTACAATATACGAGCTACGAACGGTGCTTTGGGCTAGAAAAGGTGCTTAACAAACAATATAAATGTTAAGTTCAACAAGTTATAAGAAATTATGGGGCACTTGTCTAAAACTGGTGTTTTAAAGTTTCAAAACACACATCTAGTGAAATACTGAAATATATCTAAATCTAAATTTAAAAGCAATGTAAAACACTGTATTCACAGAAAAAAAACAAACCTATATCCACTAGTAAACATTCTTTTTATTCCTCCATTTAATTTCTTTTCTTTGTTTTTGTCTTGAGACAGGGTCCACTAAGTAGTGCAGGCTGGCCTTGAACTCACTTATGTAGCCTAGGCTGGCCTCAAACTCACAGCAATCCTCCTGCCTCAGCCTCCCCAGTGCTGGGATTGCACCATCACACCTGGCTCTTCCATTTAATTTCATCTTGTTACACAGTGGTCTAACATTCTTGCTTATAAGACTCACTACAGATTATTTAAAATACCATTTCCACCAGCCAGGCATGTGGCATATGCCTGTCATCCCAGCACTCCAGGAGGCTGGGACAGGAGGCTCACAACAAGTTGGAGGCCAGTCCGGCCAGCTTGAAGGACATGATGAGACCCTGTCTCAAAGAAACCCTAAAAAATTATCTTCATCCGTAGAAATCAGCCAACTGTCAGAAAAATTAATACTCTCTCTTTATGCATTTAAAAACTACACTGCCACATTTAATACAAAAATCCTAATGAAAGACCAAAAAACACAATTACTACATATCTTTGTTCTTCCCTGGCAAATTATTTAAGTACACTCCTGTAATTCCTCTCTAAACCTGTGGACACACATACTCACAGTAAGGACCATAAATGTCAGCCAGGCCTGGTGGCAAATGCCTGTAATCCCAGCACTCAGGAGGCTGAGGCAGGAGGACTGCCCGAGACTGAGGCCAGCAAGGGCTAGGTAGTGGTTCAACGCAGACTGAACTACATAGTGAGACCTGTCTCAGAAAGACACAACGAAACAACACAAATGTCTGTCATAAAGGCTAAACAAATGAAAGTCTTAATTTGAAGCAATGCTCCCACCTCACTTTGCCAGGTATCCTAAAGTTCAACTATTTACCTAAGGTGAAAGAGATTAATCGCTACCAAACTTCGCGGTAAATGATTCAACAACAGTGTACACTGTCTAGAAAATTTAGTTAAAAATAGAATGCATTTCAAACAATGGCAATTTTGTGGGAAAATAGTTTACACAGCGTACACAGTAAAAAGAAATTTAGCACTTCACCTGAAACAGAAGTGACACGCCAGCTTTAGGGCACAGCTCTTCACGGCCTCCGCTGAGCGCCCGACGCAGAGTCAAGCACAAACCCTGACACTTGCAGAGCGCTGTCACTCATCTCCGGCCCTCACAGCACCCCCAAGCGCGAGCTCCCCCGCTTCACGGCTCAGCGAAGCCCGGCCCGAGAGAGTTAACGCGGCGCAGGCACCAGTCCGGAGAGCGGCCGGCTTCAGCCTCCAGCCTCCAGCCTCCAGCCTCCTGACTCACACTCTAATCATCTGCTGCACCGAGCACTCAAACGCGGAGGTGCTCCCCGGCGATTCTAAACTGAAGTGCTGCCTGACGACTTTCGCTCTGGCGCTGGTCGGACTCTATCAGAAACGAAACGCACCCCACACAGGAAACCGCCCGCGAGTCCGTCTCGGCCCGTCCACGCTCCAACTCGGCCGCGGCGCGGGGCGCTCCCCCGCGGCTCCGCC